CGGGGAACCATCCACCTCTGCGGCGAATCAGCCGAGCTCATCCACCACCGCCGGATCATCAGCATCCGCCGAAGCAGCGCCGTCTTTCTTATCGTCGTTGCTCAAGGAAGTAGAGATGAGCACGCCTTCTGAGGAGGATGGCTTCCGAGATCTTCCCGAATTTCCTGTTCCAGGAAGCATCGACACGGGGTCGCCGATTCCTACCTATGTCAGTCCCCGGGCAACAACACCGCCGATGGTCATGAGCCGGCCGAGTTCCCCTGGCCTCAGCTCCTATCTGGCCCCTGTCTATGCTCCAGCAAACTTTTCGCTCAACCGACCAACATCACCGACAGCTAAGACTTCCCGGTCGTCCTCGCCGAACAACAGACCTAGGAGTCGAACCTCGCCCGAGAACAGTGACACGGAGCAACAGCGCGGTCGTTCCCGCCAGCAAACTGGCTCGGCAGCCGCTGGTGGATCATCTTCGTCGGCATCGATTCCTATCCAGACATCGCTAGCGCGGCGGCCTCATCCCGATGCGTCGCACAGATCCCCAGAGACATCGCCATCACGACCCGCTCTGCCTCTCGACGTCAAACAGAGCATCAACAGTATAGTTCGGGGAGCATTAAGGCCTCACTGGCATTCGCAGAAAATCACTGCGGAGCAGTACGAGGCCATCAACCGAGATGTGTCGAGGAAGCTTTACGAGGAAGTGAAGAATCCTGCAATGGATCTAGGCGAAGAGCTGAAACAGAGCTGGGAGAAGCTTGCGGCCAAGGAGGTTACTAGGGCGGTTGAACAGTTGAAGGCGTGAGTTGTCATTGGGAGCTGACCAACAACATGCCCGACTATCATGATGCCTATCGCTTTCGATTGGCAGGGCGTTTCGGTAATGGGGGTTCCAGAGCTCTGTGGGGATTACATTGCAGGTACAATGAGGGCTTGGAAACAGAGCAAAGTGTGAGCGCGGAAAAAGGCGTCGAACTTGGTCCAGCATCCAAGCGGTTGCTGGCACGGAAGCTTTGCATCAGTCATCGTTGATCAGGATGACGCTTGTGTATTGGGCATGATAGAAAGGAGAAGTACTTTCTGATCACTCCTGTGATGTATATGTTAGATGGTGTATGGTATCAGGGCCGGCTGGGGCGAATCTGGGTAAATATCCTGGCGGACAACTGGCGTGCGGTAGCTTTTATACATTAGGATCTTTTCAATGAACAGACATGACTATTTTTTGCATTTTGATCATCGTTAAGGAACTTGGACTATGTAGTGTAGTCCACGGTTTCCGGCATTGAGCAAGATGTGCTGAACAAGTCGGTTGATAACGTGATGACTGCTCATTCTATTCTTCTTCATCTTTTTTGATATTACACTAACTCGTCCATCCAATCTGATACGTAGCCTAGTAAAGATTCGGAAAGCTTGTCCGAACGCTAGCAAGGAGGCAGGTCTGATAATTGTATGAGATGAAGCACGCATATATATATCGTGATCAGCGACATGGATGGTGGGAATGAATATTTTGAGCTGGGCAGTGATGTGCATTGCGGCGTAACTGAGACTTCAGTAGAAGATGGAGGAACAGTATCGGGGTAATCATGTGGCCGTGCTTGATCGCGACATTGACCGGAGTGACGACAAGCAAGTGTCGGGGATGGAGAACGATCCATGAATGACCTCAAAGTCCATATCCAAAGCCAAGGAATAGATCGACAGGACACCAAGCAGCCAGACAACACGCGTGCCACAAAAACGAGGCTTGAGAAATTCGAGACGGGGAAGCATTTCATGAAGGCAAGAATAACACTTTCAAAACCCAGACCCATCTCGACTTTCATCCAGCGAAGTCTCCTCACACATAGTGTACATTCCATGGAGAAGGAGGAGACTGACCAGACTGACTGGGCCAAGCTCATTTCCCAGAAGAGCAAATACACACACACAAGACAGTCTGCAGTATTATTACAATGCAAAACCAGTCACGAGAGATCGCAGAAATATATGTAAGCAGATTCTATCTAACAGCAACCCGGTAGAGCGTTTAAAGGCAGGTACCGCTAGCGAATTCGTCTGCTCATGGTGGTTCCTCTCGGCACGGACTAAATGATCAGGACAGTTTTGGAGGAAGAGAAACGTCGTGATGATAAGGAATGGTGCCTTGAAGAGAGAAAAAAAAAGAGAAGGAAGAAGAGAGGGGAGGGGACTGGTCGCAGTTTTATTGCAGCAGTTCAAAAGTTTGTTGGACCCGCTTCGGTCAGGTGAGTGGTCATGTGGGGTAGGAGCCGACATGAAAGTTATGGTGGGGTAGCGGGGGGGATTGGTTCGTTTGGTTTTGGAGAAGAATAAGGGAAGCTTTCGAAAAGGGAAGGCGGTGAGAAAAGTAAATGGGTTGCCAAGACTCAATTGTTCAGTCGCGACCAGGAACGAATAACGAGCAGGGGACCTGACTGATCGGTGCGCGGCGGCAGCGCGGCAGGCGGGAGGGCCCCAGAGAAAGAGTGGGGCTGCGGACATCGAAAAAGTTCACGGCCGGTTTCCCGCGCTGTGTATCGCCCGTCCGCCCGCTCTGCCCTGCCTGCCTGCCCGCCCGCCCGCCGCCGCAGCGACCGACCGACCGACCCCGTCCCGAATCCACCCCGAGACTTGCGAGAGAGAGAGAGAGAGAGTTGCGTTGAGGATTGGCGCGCGCGCAAGATTCACCGGTCCTCCCTCCCTCCCTCCGTCCCGTGTCCTGTTGTTTTCACACCCGGGCCCCGTCCAACAACCAAGTCATATATACTGCCCATCATGTCGGCGTCGAGTAGGGGAGCTGTTCTCCTTAGGAGTATGGACCACTTTTTCTTTTTCTTCGTTTTGGATCGTCAACTCATTGCGAATTGGTGTTTTCCATGCATGGCTTCGGATCGCAAACTTTAAGCTTAAAGACACCCTAACTAACCGTCGCAATCTGTTCTTCTCTTTGTTCCAGGCCAACAACGCTCCATCTGCCTACAATGCCGCACCCAAACCCGAGTACTTGCGCCCGCCGCCGCCGCCGCCGTCTTCAGCAAAAACGTCGCTACCGCCGGCGCCAGCGCACCTAGACGTTTCTACTCCGCCGAGGCCTCTGCCACTGCCACCACGACCACAACAACACTACCCCCTCCTCACCCGCCCGTCACCACATCAACAGGCACCCACGCCGCCACCTCGACCTCGTCGCAAATCTACCGCATCAAGTCGGGCGTGATCCTGACCCGCCCCCCGCTGCTGACGCGCGACCTCACCCCCTTTGAAGAATCCTTCTACTTTTACCAGAAGCGCCTCAACGAGCGGCTGACGGCCCCCTTCCGCAAGGACTTTTACTTCAAGAAGGACACGGCCGCCGACCTGGACTGGCGCATCAAGCTCAAGGAGCGCCACGGCGTGCCCGCCAAGGACATTGGTCGGTACAACCCGCGCGGCCGGATGGCGTGGAACGACGAGGTGCTGGTGGGGTCGCAGACGTCGTCGAGAAAACACATGGTGGACAAGTTGCTCGCCGATGCGGAGATGCGCGTGTCGGAGGATGGCGAAGAGATCCCCGCCGAGGATCGGGTTCCCGTTGAGAAGCCGATGCCGAGACGGACGGAGGCGGACGAGAAGGGGGATGTCAAGCGGCTGGATCGCGCGCTGGACAAGACGCTTTATCTGGTGGTGAAGAAGAAGGCGGACAAGGAAGGGGAGGAGGCCAAGTGGATGTTCCCCACGGGCGTGGTGCCTACGGATGAGGGGTTGCATGAGGTTCGTCATTTTCCTTCTAACCAACCTTTTAAACCAGTTTCTAAAAGTTCAGTTAACTAACCTTTGATGATGACGATAAACAGACCGCAGCCCGCATCCTCGCCGAGTCCGCAGGCGTCAACATGAACACGTGGATCGTCGGCCGCGTGCCCGTAGCCCACCACGTCGTCCGCCCCGTCTTTGGTCAGAAGGACGGCGCCCTGCTCAAGAAGGGCGAGAAGATCTTCTTCCTCAAGGGCCGCATCATGGCCGGCCAGGCCGACCTGACCGACAACCTGCATGATCTGGTCGACTTCAAGTGGCTCACGCAGGAGGAGCTGCGCAGCACCTTGGCGGAGGAGTACTTCCACAGCGTCAAGGGCATGTTTGCTGAGAGGTGAACAACACAACAACACTCCCTTGTAGGCTGGTCTGGTGAAGTAGGAGGAAGAAGGTTGGAGAGGTGGTGATGAGTGGATGGTTGACGTCGGTGGGACTACCATTATCTTCCGGGGAGATGGAATGGGGAAGTGTGTGGGTGGAGGAAGAAGAGAGAAGCATGTGTACAAATGTATTGATATCAAAAGATGGTTTTAGTTGGTCGGGTGGTGAGGTACAATTGTTGTTTATGCGCTGAGTGGACCTGGACCCCATCTAGCCGAACACAATCGAAGTTCTCGAGAAAGAGAATGAGAGACGGTTTGAAAGTAGACTTGACAGGTCGACCGCCTCGCACGCTTCAGCGTACTTGACCAGGCCAAGCCAAGCTCGCATGCTCCGTCTGTCTGTAAGAAGCGGGCGAAGGCTGACATGAAGCACAGGGACGAGAGGGGACGAGGAAAGAGACCTCTCGTCCCTTGTGTTTGTAATGTAAAAACATATGCTATGTATAGAGATTTGGGATGAAGATGTCATACACGATTCGAGATGGTTGGTGAATACTATGAGACATCCGCTGGGCTGGTCATTCCGCTATCCGAGGTGAAGTCTGATACTAACATACACAAACAAGACAGAAATCCTGACCTAATCACATATCTGTCACCCGATTCTGCACTAGAGACCTGGATAGGTATGGCCGTGACCTCTTCAAGATCCAGCCTTGATCGATGATGAACACTGGTGCTCCCGGCTAGAGACACACAGTCAAAGCTTGTGCCAGCCGCAGACCAAAGCAACGGTATTTCTGAGTTTGGCTGGAAACCCTCATCGTTGGCTTACACCTCTTGCGGAACACCTCTCGTGTGTGCATGGTGATGTGCTCCTCCATTCCTCAAACACCATTAACAAATTACTTGTTGACATCATCACATCACAAACAATTCGGGTCCCAATCTTCAATCCATCTGAAAAGCAATGTAAATAACACACAAATCGTGCCCAAAGTCCACACAAAAAGGAGCTCATACAGGAGGTCCCGATGATCATCCTAGAGATTCCGAATCCGGGTCTTTCTGAGCGGAATCGAAGTGGGGAGCGCCAAAATTTCACCGTTGTCGAGGATCAATTTGTTTCCAAACTTTCCCCAGAAAACTGCCTCCCACGGGGGGAGACGATGAACGTCAGGTGCCTCCTGCTTCTCTTCCTCCTCCTCCTCATCACTGCCGTCACCGAAAACACTGGGCGGGGTGTCAACCATGCTTCCAGTCATACCGGAAGCGACAGAAGAACAAACACTTGACCGACGACTGATAATGCTGTTGGGCGCAAAGGGATTGAGAGTGAAGAAAAGCTTGCTTGGTTTTCTCGTCTTCATTCTCATGCTTCCGTACGTCTTTTCGGGCCGGGTCTTGCTCAACCACTGCTCCTTCTGCAGCTTCTTTGCTGCAACCTTGAGGAATGCGAGGTTGGAATACCAGCCGTAAAGACCGTGTTCTTCAGCCATCTTGTTCTGGTATTCGAATCCTCGTACTGGTGTAACAACGGGTCCTCCCTCTTCCTCTGCGGCAGATATGAACTCAATTGAAGTCTTGTGCCTGTCGAACGAGTGAGATGGATAGTTGTTGAGGGGATACAGAATCCTGCTGTCCACGATCCGAGGGAAGATGTCGTGTATTTCTTTTGTGAATCCGTCGAGTGTCTCCGGAAGTGGGCCCAAAAATGTCGAGTAAAAGTGACACAGCATGTCGAGCTGAGAGTGAATGAGCAGGATAGGTCGTCTGAGCCTGTTTCTATTCTCAGCTGCTCTAAGTCTGTCGCGAAAAGCCGAGACAAGTTGACTTCGCGAGTCACGATCCACCACCAATAAGTATGCCAAGCATAGTTCGGGCTCGATGTCGTTGGCAAAATGTCCCCCGAGGAGAGCCTCCACCACGTAGAGAAATCCTGCAAGAACAAGCGTTAGTGGAACCAGAAAGGCCTGGGTGTCATGAAGTGCTATCGGAATTGCTTACCTGACTGTCGCGTCAGTGCAATGCGGCGGTTCGTCGATCTCTGTGAGCATCGATCAGTAAATAGTCCTAGACTAGTGAATTGTGGCTGTTTCCCTGACCTCAATGGTGAGCTCTGTGCGACTGAGCTTCGTGATGTGCATGATTCGATTGTCATCTCTAAGAGTTGCGCGACAGTCCTCAAAGCAGGAGTGGACAAGTTGGCAGATGAGTCCAACTTGAAGGCTAGTAAACCGCTCGCCTGAGGGGGTTGCTAAGTGAAGAGTCTTGTCCTGTGAAGGAAGGCGGGCATGAGCTTGATGACCAGCAAGTCGACAGACAAAACCAGAAGGAGTCATCGTACCTCTTCTTTCAGCCAAGATGTGATCTGCTCATTGGCCCATGCCCGAAATTTCTGGGACTCGGCATCTAGTTTGTTGATGTCCAATGGCTTCTTGGTCTCCCAAGGCTGGAGGAAACGCTCCTCGACTGTTTGCGCCTCCCAGCGGGTCAAGTAAGGAACACCCCGTTCCCAAGCTTCGTTGAAACACCAGCCGTTTGTCGCCAACTGTTGAAGGGTGTCGTATGAAAAGGAAAACGTTCGATTGACGGTCTTTGCGATGAGTTCCGCCTGAATGTTTGCAGAGAGAAACCAAGGGGTGATGGCAAAGTTGAAGCTACGCGCAGAATATGCTGAGACTCGGAATGTCAGTTACCTCGGTGAACACCCAGGCTAAGAAATTCCCATCATACGTACCCTTTTGCTTCTCGTCGTATTGGAAACAAGTCAGGCCAATCTTGGAGATGTGGTAAACCTTGGAGTGTTCTACCAATTCATGGTAGAGCTCCTCCTTGGTCTGGTTAGCTTTGATGATAGCATCGGGATAACCGATCACAGAAAGCGAGATGAACTCGGCATCGGCAATCGCGTCAAGGATAGTGGGCAGATGGCCCCAGAAGTTGACGTTGTCGACCTCCATTTTGACAGAGATCATGATCTAAACCGCGATCTAGATGCCCATCAACGTAAGTTCCCAGGCCTGCTGCGAGCAGATCTTGGAGGACGAAGAACAACCCTTGAAAAAGAATGAGGGTAGGAAAATGATGTTCGGACGCCGAGGTGGGGTGAAAAGGTAATGAGACCCCCGTGAGGAAGATCCCAAGTGTCCTCACTGCCCAGGCAATAGAGGTACGGTAGACGTGACTTCCGTTATCGGCTTGCCTTCGTCGTACCTTCCTCGCGAACCGGAAGCTGTGCCTGCCACTTTCGTGTGCTGCACGGCAGTTCCTTCTTCGTTTGCGAAGGGAACGTCACCAACGGGCACCTGCCCAGTCCTGCCTGTTTGGTGCCTTGACCGTCCCATAGCACGTATGAATGGTTCCATAGTACCTAAGGTATCTGCCGGAACATTAGATGAAGAGTAGAGGTAGGGGATGTCACACGGCCAATCAAAGTACCGGGGAAAGATAAGAAAGAGGGCAGAGTATCACGTCTGGTTAAGATAATGAAATGAAGTCTTACTGGTATATCGTCTATCACGGGTAGTCAAGCCAGAACGAGAATATCGTTGACGCCCTTTGATCTTTTTTCTCCGGCATATCAAGGCTCTCTCTCTCTGCCTTTCTTGTTCGTCACTGGCCCTACGAAGCGCCATCCCTTCTAAATGCTATCCACCAAAGAATCCAGCCAGACAAAAACAACGTCACAACTCATCGCCTTTAGGCCCAGAACTCCTCCAGTGCTCAAAAAGATGCCCAATTCCATGCAGAAAATAACTAAAAGGAAAAGAAGTGAATCACAAAGGGACCATCCCTCTGTTGGCACTGTATCCCGAGTTGCTGTCTCCTTCTAGTCAACGCCCGCATACAAATCGACAACGATGTTTACGGCCGCCACGAGAATCTCGGCAGCAATAAGGACAATCACTATTAAGTACTAGTTAGCATAGCCCATGTTGTTGAGAGTGTATGTGTGCATGGCCGCTTACCGATCCACTCTAGCTTCTCTCCGTGACCGTGAGTTAGCTGGTCCTTGAGAACAGCCAACAGATCGGCAATGACATCCATACGCTCTGTCAGCAACTTGACACGCTGGTCCATCTCGAGGTAACTGCGCACGGCCTTGTACAATGGTTCGAGTTGTGGCTCGACCCAGAACAGCTCCGGTGTATCGAGGACGGAGCCGTTTAGGTGGATGTTGACACGCAATATGAAGAGCTCTCCAATCTGCATATTGATCTGTTGTCGACTGAGGTCGATCTTGCCCGTCAACGCAATCTGCGTGGGAATGTCCTTGCACGTCTCGATGGTTGAAGCAATGAGTTCTTCAAAGAGAGACGTCTGTGTGATAGGGTTAGCCTGTAGCCTTTTGTCAAGCACCAAGTATAGCAAGGTGAGGAACCAACCTTGACACTCTGGGCGAGAGCGTGGGAAATGGCTAGTTTCGTCATGTAGTTGTTCTTGTCTCGCAAGGTGATGAAATCGTTGTAGATCCGGGCCTGGTATTCGTGTGTGTAGTAGAAGTTGAAGTACTCCGTCTCCGTATCGTCCGGCCCCAACTTTTCCAATTCGAACTTTGCAATCTCCTTTAGGAACCGCTGTTCTTGGGCAACCGACATGCCCCATATTACCACCACACCGTACTCAAAGAGGAAGACTTCCGGAGTGTGGACTTGGATGTCGAAATCAGCCAGCGGGTCATCCGACACAGCGTTCTCGTCGCTGATGACCCCTTGGGCCACCATGTCCTGAACACCTTCCCTGGAGGTGCTGCCTCCATTGAGATTGAGGCTGATCAGGTCCTCTGTACTTTGATAACCACTGCTGTCACCTTGGGTCACCTCGCCGGTGGAATGCCTGCGAGAATGTATCGGGTCGAAATGCCCCAGCTGTTGTTGCTCCTGGGCTTCTGCCTCGGCCCGGTTGTTCTCAGCCGCCTGCTTGGGATTGTAGCTATAAGGAGTGTAGATGCACTCGTCGATCAACTTTGGGTTTGCGCCCCGACTCTTGGATCTGCTCTTGAGAAACCGCATGAGGCCGTCCATCTGGTACCTACTAGCTGTGCAGTACGCCGTCACTCTGGGCAGCCTGTCGCGGTCCGCCTTGCCGAGACGGGCAGCATCACGACGGGCCGTGGGATCCTTGATACGGGTGTACTGCGAGTAGACGTCGCGACCGCTCTCCTCGTCGACGCCATCTTCCTCCAGCTCCGGGTTGGGTAGTAGCTTGAGCTTCTGGGCGTTCTTGGTGCTACGCTGGGGGCCGATCTTGGGCAGGTGAGTGTTGCCAGCAGACGTATAGGGCAGGCCGGAATTGTGGTTGGTTCCGATAGTACCGCCGCTGTTTCGTCGTCGCATCTTGCCATTCAGGGCCGATAACATGGGGGGCCCGCCGCCGAGACCGCCAGTGCTAATGGCGGAGGAACTTGAAGGGGACATTGGCGGATGCGGTAGGCTTGGATGCGAGGCGCGGGCCTGACGGTAGGCTGCCTCGGGCTCGATGGTCTTGGTGACGGGATTGGGGTTGAAGGTGACAGTTCGTTGCGGTCTCGTGGGACGGCTGACGTCGGGAGATGATGGTGTCGTGGTGGGGAGGAGCGGTGTATTCTCTGACGGCGTATTGTTCTCCATTGTGAATGTCGTCGCGATCGACTGGTTGGTTGTTGTGATGGGTGCTGTTTTGTGGTAGACCTGGGTTTTATGTGTCTCGTGTGTTTTTGCTGAATCACCGATGGAGGACTGGTCGCACGAAGGGAACAAGCAAACTGGAGATATCGACAAGGCCACCACCTCAAGCGCCAAACGTGGATCTCTGAAGAAGCCAAAAACAATGGGTATTTATTCTGTATATCAACACACCACACTCAAGCGGAAAAAAATGCGATGCTCGCTGGTTGGGTCAGGGAAAAAAAAAAAGACCAGAAACACGAATCGTCGGCCGTTGTGGCGGACGGTGATGGAGGCGTCTGCGGAGTAGTTTTGGTGGTGGTGGTGGTGGTGGTGGTTGTTGTCTTGGGTCCGTGTCGGGTCAAGGATGGCTCAAAGGCAAGATTTGGAGCCGGCCGAGAAAGAGATCCCGTCAGTGACGTCTTGTGGCCGGTGAGATGGTCGTCCGCTTGAAACGCCAAACAGTGGTGTGTGGTCGCGGCTCCGGGGCCGGCCAATATGCTAGTGTACAGTGGACTGCCGCGCCCGAGACACCTCAGCGACCACTCACAAATCTGATTTCTTTTGCTCTTTTCAGGCAAGACTGGCCCCCACCTGGCCAATGCGACAAAGGCTTAAATTGCGGAGAACGGGCGCTAAGATGCTCCCGGTCTAGCCCGCCTGCCCAGCACAATGGGGAATGCTTCCTCCAGCGGGCACCAGCTGCAAGCTTCCCCTGTCGGGCATTGTTTTCAGAGACATCATCCGTCATCCAATGTTACACCACCTCATTATATGCGTCGTCAAAAATGGGAATAGCTTCAATTCTACCAATTCATCATGTTACTACATATCGGGTGCTACAACCCCTCTCAACATCATGATCTTACCGTATTTGGGGTCGCGGGCTCGTGGCATCGATGTTATGGCCATGAGACTTGAACATAAGTCGTTAGGATGAGGAGATGAGTAGGATAATGACCCAAATCTTGTTCGGGCGGCGGTTTCATTTCATCTGGACTTGGATTTACGGTGAACGCCCTATCACCATCTGTGGATATTTGTATGTTGACCTCCTTGCTGGGATCCAAGACTAAACACACCACAGACAATAATGGCGATGGCGACGACAACGAACTCCTCCCAGCCCTTGGTTAACATTGCCGTGCTCTATCCCTCTAAACATCACTCTTTCAGAACGTGGAGTTACGTCCAAGCGGTACCATAAATGGAATCTTCCTCTTTCTTCCCCGCCCTCCTTCTCTGGTTCATGATACTCTTCCCTCGACTCCCTTCTTCTCTCTGCATCTTAGGTCATCCTCTGCCTTTACTCTGGAGATCATTCAAAGACACTCACACTCCGCGCCAAGAAATCTACCTGTATCTCGATGGATAATTGCTGCTCTTACAGTTTCCTTCCCAGACCATCGTCCTGCGTCCGTATTCTAGTGTCTATGGAGTCGAAAGTGTCCGCAGCCGCTGTTCCAACTACACATTGTTAACCTCGACAAGAGTTCAACGCCATCTCATATCTGCCACCTTTCAACAACTTGCTCGATCAATGGCCTCCATACACTCACTGCGCCGTTATATATCAATCAGTTAGAGCTTGCAACGGTCGTATCGGAGCGATTCAAGTATCCATACACAGGATACAGACCAGGTGGTGCTCAGAGTTCCACAACACAACCACAATGAACTCGATATTTGGGCCAGCCAAATCTTGGTTTACGTCATTGCCGACATCCACCCAGGCTCTGGATCCAGAACCAGCAGCAAGCAGTTCAAACAGCTCAACACCCGGTCATAGCCACGGTGTGTACTCAGCCCCATACAGCATTATGTCGACCGAGACAGCTAACAACTTTCCAAGAAACAGCCATTGATACGTCGTCATCATCTCCGAAGAGAACCGAGCCGGACGATGAAAGTAGTTCAGATAATAACTGTTTCAACACGGCCATCCAGGACCACCTGCGGCAAAAGCCTGTCCAAGAAACCCCAAAAGAGGGAAAAGTAGACGATAAAGAACCGTTTGGGGGAAGGTTTGAGCATGTGCGCGCAGCTCATGCGAAAGAATCAAAGGGGACAGAAGACAGCGACGATGCCACGAAGTCACTCCAGGCAAATTTTGCTATACCGTTGACCAAACACGACGCCGAAGTTGGGTCTTCAAAAAGGCCTCTAGTCGTCGAAGATCTTGAGGCCTTGGGCCGTAGTGGAAGCGTCGACAGTGCGAAGAGACGGAGATTGAGCATCGGACAGCACCGGTCCGGATATTATGAACAGCTTTTCTCGAAGGACCAGCGTCAGCGCTTTAAAAGAGAACCCGGCTCGTCTCATTCCCGGATTAGAGCGCCCCTGAGACCTCTGAGTAAAAACGGGCTTTCTCGAATGAGCCCTTGCACGAGCCTGGATCAGGCAAAGTCAAAGGAGATTGCCAAAAGTATCAGGAATACGCCAACCACAGCAGGTGTTAAGGCGACGGAGAAAGTGCATCAAATCAAAGAGAGGGCAAAGGAAATTCAAGCACCCAAACGAACAGAAGAGCAAGTGGTACGAGAATTCACCAAGGCCCCTATTGACAGCATATTCGGTGACAAGACTGCAAGCAATCCCACAAACACCATATCTTCTTCGAGGGGCCAACCGACCAAAGATGCACGAAGAACACAAGGTGACAAAAATCCGGCATCAAGCCAACCAGCAACCCATCAAACAGCTCAAGCAACACAGCCGTCTCGCTCAAAGGAGAAGCCTTCGGTACCACGCCTTACGAAAGCGGACGTAGATCAATTCAATATTTTCAAGGACAAGGGTCCACAAACGAAGCATGCAAGAATAGTCAACCATCTCCCTAGCAGTTTCAACGAAGAGCGGACAGGTTACAAGTTTACAGCTCAGCGCGCCACTCATGATTTCCAACAATCAGCAAAAGAATACGAGGGACCAGCTCGGCCTTCGCCAGCCTCAAGACGCAAAAAGTCCGCCATTCCGTCATCGAGCAAGAACCCACCGGCACCGACAACCAGCATTCACGCTCTTCCACCAACCCTGACTCCAACGCTACCACCCCCTCATCACTTCCCAGCTGCTCTTCCTCCAGTTCCAGAACCAGCCCCCGATGCTGCCATCCCTCCGCCTCCTCCACCCAAGAAAGCCGTGCCCGCGCAATCCCTCCTCTCCCCCACCGATGTCATCCTACAATACGTGATCAAACAAACGAAGAAACACCCCATCTCCGAGTCCGACTCCGTTCGCCACTACCGATCGAAGGTCGTGTACACCTCCAAAAAGGAGGCCAACGAAACCTGCCGACGACGGGTGCTGAACCTACTCAAGGAGGACATCCCCTTTCAAACTGTGGAACAAGGATATGTGGGCGACCACCTTTTCAAAGGAACGATTTTTTACGAGGATGGGGACGTTCAGTTCTATTATGTGCACGAGGAGGCGGCGATGCTAGGGGACGTGCTGGAGAAGAGGGAGTTGTGGGTGGATGAGGAGGGTATGGGGATTTATGCAAAGAGGATGTGGGCTGTTTGGGCTGTGAGGTATTATCCGAGTGAGGAAGAAGAGACGAAGAGTCCGGGAGTGGGGGTGGGAAGTGGAAAGGGAAGGGTTGAGGTAGTGGATGAGGGGGATGAGGGGGATGACGAAGACGATGATGAAGAGGAGGAAGATTTATTCGGTTGTAAGGACGTTGATGGGCAGTTGAATGAAGGGGATGTTGATGCGGAAGCAGGTGAGACGCAGAAGATTAGCGAAGATCAGGATACTTCAGGTGTCCAGATGAACATGGACTCACAAACTGAGGGCCACCAAACGCAAACGGAGCCCGAGATTCACACTCAACAGGAGATTACGAGCAAAACCCAGAGCGAGACCCAAACACAGCCGGAGAAACAAACTCACGCTAGTCCCTCGACTCAGTTGGAAGGGCATCCCACAACAAACGTCCAGGGCCATCTGGATCCTCACAAAATGGATGTCGAGGGTCACTCAAGACCTTGGTCAGGGCTAAATCTATCAACCAATCCTCCCACACCAGCACAAACAGAACAAAATAATTCTAACTCAACCCAGCCTCAAAACCAGCCCACCAATCCACCACGCCCGCCCACACCCCCCTTACCCTGTACCCTCTACTCCCCACCTCCCCCCTCAACCATCTACTCCTCCTCTTCCGAGTCTGACTCAGAAGACATCTCCCACATCAGAAGAAGAAGTCTTCCTAACAACATCCCCCCACCCCCTCCTCCCCTGCCCTCCTCCACCCTCCTCACACCCGCCACCACTCTCCACGGTACTTTCACGACCCTCCGCCTCGCCAACCTTGAGGCACTGGAAATCTTCAAAGCCCTAACCAAGCCGGAGCCGCCCGCGAGGATGAACGATGTTTCGCACTGGCGGGACGAGGTGGTTCCCGAAGCGGAGGCGAGGTTCAAAGAATGGACTAACACAAATGGCCAAAATAATGATGATGATGTTGAAATCGGAAAAGACACCAACGAGCAGGGAAACGAAAATGACGGGGACGATTACTATGGAAATGTGATAGAGAAAAGACCATTCAACATAGAGTGGGAACCTGATGCGCACTTGTTCAAGTGGCGGTTTAGAAAAGTGCAGGTGTGGGTTCAGGAGTTGGAGCTGAAGGGGCCGAAGAATTTGGGGGGTTGGAGGTTAAACAGATGCCGTCGTTCGCGGTTGCAGGTCGAAGTACAGGTAATGGAAATGCTGGCGATGGACCGGCATCGATTTCGGGAGCGGCAAGGCCAAAGGCAAGGGGAGCTGGAACGGTAAAGGTGAAAGCTTCGACTGCAGCTACAGCTGCAACCACTACCCCCAATACAACCGCCCCCAGAACGGATGATGATGAGCTCGCCAACCAACACACATACTACAGAAATGCCCGGGAAGAATTAGCAGCAGCCAAGGCCAAAGCGAAGGGAAAGAAGCGTCGAAGGCCAACAAAAGAGGAGAAAGGAAAAGGTAAGGCCATTGATGTTGACCCTGTTGTTCCTAGGGAAGGCAATGGGAAGCCGGCGGTGAAGGAGGGGGAGGACGAGTGGGGAGGAATCGAGGAGGGTGAGGTCAGTGAGGAAGACTGAGAAAATGGTAGCTAAAACTTAGACATGCATGGCTTAATCTTTGAGACAAGCTTATGACTACTAGCAGAAGTTTCATAGTGGAGAATTGTATATTGATTCTATGGCGTTGAGGAGGTATGAGCGCGTTCGCACGATACTTTCTGGGTTTTCGGTAAAGGTAACGATTGTGGTGACCAAATGTATAGATAGGTAGAGGGTTTACTTGTAACCCGATCGATCTAGTTGGCGAATTTGACTTTCCTGACCCTTCTTTACAAACCAGGTGAGGGTCTAAAATTTACGGTTACAGGTCTTCGGTTCGAAGCTTACCTACAGATGTCTCGAAGTCGGCAAAGGGTTTCAACGTTCAGTGAACGCATCAAGTTGCACATTATATCCGTGGCAAGACAACAACGGCGAATCCCAAAGGCTTTGGCAGTGAAAGGGCAGCGGAATGGATACAAGACGACCAACAAGAGTATTAATCCCGTCATAAACATGTAGCAAAGAGACTTCACATCCTTATGTCGAGTATGGTTAGGTATACTGCCTTCCCACACGTCAACGTCAAACACGAAGCTTCACAGGCATGACACGACACGAGTCACTCCAAGCACGCATCTCAACGGTAGCATAGCAAATTGTGTATTTTGATCTACCTATCCATTCCTTTTCCAGCAAATCCACAAGCTCATTCATGCACTGTTTCCGGCCATCCGCCTCACCCACCATCCATCCATCCATCTTGATCCGTTTATCCTTGTTTTATTTCTCCCTATTTGCACTAGAACCGGCCAACAACACCATAACTCCTCATCAGCCAGCCGACCAATCCCCATATCAGCAATGACCTCGCCTGCTATCTAGCTTTTGACACGCATGATAAGAAAAAGGAAGGAAATTAAAACAAGCAAGAAAAAGCAAGATACAATGCTGTTATTGTATATATCCTACAGATCGAGCACAAACGGGCGCTGCTCGAAATTCCTCCTCCGCCTCACTTATCCTCTTGTGAGCAGATACCTTTGTGTAGCTTCCATGTTCATCCAGCCAATGGCAATCAAATCTTCTTCTCGTTCCCTTCGTCACTTTATGATGTGATAGACTTGAGCGTCCTTGTTGCCACCTCGATCGATAGTCGTGAAGTTGACCATCACTGATTGAAACCCGAAGATATGGTCTCCTTTCCGTTCCCACTCTCAGGGGGTCTATCCAGGCAATGGCCTGCCAGCAACGCTGTGATCAGGCGTCAAGTCCTGTCTTTGTTCTTCCACCATCCACCGCGGCTCGGCACTTGGCATGCGCGAGCTGCGAAGCTGCGTATGGGGATAGTTGTACATGACTTGTTCATACCCACTGCTCATCAACGACTTAGCAGGTATACAGACGTACTCAGTTCCTTGAACAGCAGATGGGTTCAGGGGAAGCCTTCAGGCCCTCACTGCATAGTCTTCAGGAAGCCGTCGAGATCGAAGCTTTCCTCGTACTGTGAATTATCCCACAGCTCCCCGAGGCCTTCAAGCCAAGCCGCCTTCTTGCCAGGTTGCCTGACATCGCCCGTCTCGATATCCACCATGTCCTCCTCCCTGCCCTCGAGGTTGTCCTTGTTCTTGCCCTCCGTTATGAGGTTTGGTCCGGCATCACCAAGGTTGAACAGATCAAGAATCTGATCCGTATCCATGGTCGCAAGTCCTGCATTCTGCTGGTTCACTACCGTGCTGGCGACGTCGATCTTGAAACGCTGAAGACTGAGAATCTTCTCCTCAAGTGTTCCGCGGGTGATCAAGCGGTAAACATTGACCACCTTCTTCTGACCGATACGATGGGCGCGATCCATGGCCTGCAGATCCTTCTGCGGGTTCCAGTCGTGCTCAACAAAGATAACAGTATCTGCACCAGTCAGGTTGAGACCAAGACCACCGACGCTCGTGGTGAGCAGCAACACATCGTATGATGGGTCACTGTTGAACTTGTTGACGATGTCCTGACGGCGGGTAGGGTCGACGGAGCCGTCAAGACGAAGGTGAGATACCGAGGGAAGCATAGTCTTGAGGACGGTATTCTGAACCATGTCCAACATTTCCTTCATCTGGCAGAAAATGAGCGCACGATGAGGCTTAATGGGCGTGTAGAGCGGATCGGACGATTCTTGACCTTCAACACCGATACCGCAGTCGACAAGCAAGTCTCGGAGTGCCGTGAGTTTGGGGGCATGGACTGGATCCTCGAGGCTCGTGTTTCGTTTGGCCAGGAATTTCTGTGTATCATCGTACTGCTTGTGACCAGGCTTCATGACGAGCGCAGGAGAGTTGCAAAGCTTGCGCATGTACTGCAGAGCTTGGAAAATGTGGGCCTTGGCTTCCTTGTCATCACGGCCCGCCTCCTCGGTGATCTTCTTCGCCTCCCTCTTGGTGAAGTCCTCGAAAAGTTTGCGTTGAAGGTCGCTGAGGTCGCAATAGTAGTTCTGCAAAATCTTGGGTGGCAAGTCGTTAAGGACTTCCTCCTTGAGACGTCGCAAAAGGAAGGGCAGGACCTGCTTATGCAGCGCCTCAATAGCCAGAGCGCCTGCTTCTTGTTCCTTCGAGGACGCCTTGCTATATCGACTGTTGGCAATGGGCTTCGCGAATCTGTCAAGGAACACCTTTTCTGCACCCAAGAAGCCGGGCATGAGGAAGTCAAACAAAGACCATAGTTCTAGCACATTGTTCTGGATCGGTGTACCGGTGAGAATAAGACGGTGATTGCTGGCCAGTTGCTTGACGGCGATGGTGATCTTTGCTTTGGGGTTCTTGATCAAGTGTCCCTCATCAAGCACCACGTAGTTCCAACTGTATTTCTTGATGACGTCGATGTCATTACGGCACACATCATAGGAGGTGATGACAATGTCGGTCTTGTCCAGAGTGTCTTTCATAGCCTTGCGCTCAGCAGGTGGACCAACGTAGGTCGTAACGCTGAGGAATGGAGCGTAGTTCTTGATCTCCTGCTGCCAATGTCCTGAAAGGGTGGGCGGGCAGACGATCAAAGACGGCAATCTTCTGACATCTGGCGCACCGGTCTTGGCAAACTCTTCAGCACGCTGATGATGGTCACTGGCGACAATGCAAATTGTCTGGAGCGTCTTGCCGAGGCCCATGTCGTCGCAGAGAATACCATGGAGGTGATATTTGTTGAGGAAATGGAGCCAGTTGACACCTTCCTGCTGGTAGGAACGCAGTTCTGCCTTGATGGCTACAGGAATCTGGAACGGCTCGACCTTCTTCGGGTCAAGCAGCTGCTGAATGAACGTTCGTTCACGGTCTCGGCCACGCAAGAGCTCCTCTGAAAGACCGGGAGGATCAGGAATTCCAGCCTCAAGAGGTACGAGCTTGACAAGAGTAGCGAATGATGTGGTCGCAATAAGACGGATGTTGTCATCGGAATCGCTCATACGACCAAGGACAGGCACGATGAGGAAAATCACATAGGGCAGGATGGCGTCTCCCATGACTGCAATCAAATGATAGATAACCTCAATGGCGCCTTGGCGGAAGTTGAGATCGACAGGGTTGTTGATTGAGGGCAGAACCTTTTCAACAAGTGCGGTCATACCATCGACAGTGATGACGGAGCAGATGGTGGCCATAGACTTGGCAGCCATGTATCGGAAGACCGAAAGCTGGGACTGGAGAGCCTTGATGATAAAGGGCACTTGTTGCATGACGAATGAGTGAAGTGCGGTGTGGAGTGTTGGGGTCATGGTGCGAATGATGGACAGGGCATCCACAATCTCTTGACCAAACGTGCTCGAAGGATCTCTGGCCTCTGTTGGGAGTTCACCCGAGAAGGCTCTGACCAAAGGCTCCTCCATGAAGGTGCGGAGACTAGGCACCCGGCTCAAAAGGTCAGGTCCGTATGTCTGCGACAGCACCTCCAAAGCCTGCTTGGCACCGCGTCGAGTAATATGAGCTTTCTTTGCTTCGATCGCATATTTGATTGGATCCTCGTGCTCGGCTCTGTCCTCCTCCTTGGACATGGAAAGAATAACGTTCGTCTTGTGAGCGTGCTGAGGGAACTCGGGGGTTTCCGCAGTTTCCACACACGTATACTTGACCAAGTTGGCAACAATCTTGTCACCAGGGCCGCGGCGGCCAGACTCGGTGAAGAGCTGTACAAGACGCGCGACGCTGGTAGCCGAGCGACCTTGAAGCAGATTGTTCTCCTCACCCTTGACGCTGTCCATAATAGCCTTGATGAGTGGGCTGGGCTTCTTGGGTAGCACCTCCATGGATACCAAGGCGCATGCTGCAGCAGCACGGATACGAGTATCGCGAGCTTCCTTTGCCGCCTTGGCCTCCTCAATAGCAGTAACGACGAGATCGCGAGCATCATTGAGGTCCTTGACAGCAATCAGCCGCTGACCAGGAGCCATGATCTTCTTGAGCCTCTCAAAATCTTCGTTGACAACCTTCTCAGCGTTCGCAATAGAGAAAGCGCCGGGACCAGCTTCGGGCTCGCCCTGTACCACGACAGCAAGAGTGGGCAACTTGCTCTGCGAAACCTTGCCATGATCTCGACAAAGGTTAAGCAGCTGTTGCGATTGTGATCGTACTCGCTGCACATAGGTAACCAAGTCTCGGTAGTGGGATGGCCGTTCTTGCTCAATAATTGCGAGCAAGGGTTGGACGAAGCGAGTTGATGCCTGACTGGAGGCGCTGTTCTTTGCGTACTCGTCAATGATAATGCTGGCAGTAAGCTGAGTTGAAGAGTATGCGGATGAGAGGGCCGGGATGATACTGGCATCGTAGGCTTCAACGGTTGATGGTGGGACCAGGGCCATGACTAAGCCCATGGCCTTAGCAGCCGAGACGCGGGAGCGGATCAGAACATCCATGCCAACGAGGTCGACATCTCCCTGCATCATGTGGCCATCGACATCGTGAGTATGGGAAGTTGGAGGAGGTTCGTCGACCTTGGTCGATTTTCTCCTCCGTTTGACAGTCCTATCCGCGCCTTCTGGTGGCGATGACCTCCTGTTACCACCCGCGACAAGCCCTGGCATGGTATAGGTTCCGCCAGAAGGCTTCTGAAACAAGCTTGCATTCATGGGAATGGGGTTCCTAGACACACCGATAGGATGCAGCGTCAGCTGCATGAGCGTGTCCACATGTGGTCCAAACTCATCAGCGAGTATCGCAGGGTTGTTGTTAGCAAGTGTACGGACGAGGGCTGCCCACAGATCGACAGATGCATTCAGTGTTTCCTGATCCCTCTCGACAAGGATGTTTTGGAAGATTAGACGCAGAATCCTTCCACCAAGCCATCCTTGCGTTGTGTCGCCTCCGAGCTTGACGAAGGTCATCAAAGCCTTGAGGACAGCAAGCCTGACAGAGGTAATGGTATGACGAAGGAAGGGGTAAAGCCTCGGGACAAGGAGTGTAAACGACCGCTCCTCATCGTGCGACGCCGAGTGCTTCATGGTTTCCAAGACTTCTGGGAAACTGCAAAGAGTCGCCAAGAGGTCCATGATCTTGCCTGTGGACGCACTGAGATCGTCGCCAAGGTTAGAGAGACTTTCCCAAACGATGTTGATGAGATCAGGGAGGGCATCCGAGCGCATCTTAACAAACTCCTTGGCCATGGGTATCAGGGTCGCCGCGCTGACCGAGCGAACATCGTCGTCCTGGTTGGCCAATCCTTCCATGACAGCGAGAATAACGCCATCAATCATGGCGGTATCCTGCAGGAGCAGGTCCTTCCTCACAGCAACGACATAACGAAGGCCAATCATGCCGCCGTGGCAAATGGCCCACTCATGGTGGTTGAGCTGAAGATCTTTCTGCATCACCATGCGGAACAGCAATTCGTAAATAGCATGGACGGTTGCCGGAGGGCAATGACGAAGGACGGATCCAAGTGTCTGGCCGACGGTCTCACGAATAGGTGCCACAGAGGTATCGGAACTATAATCGGTGAACCTGTCAAGCATCAAAACGCAGCATAGGCGACAAGCGAGGTCATCCAGCCACTTCCGATTGAGCTCGTTGTTCTCTGATCGAGACTTGGCCATCAATCTTCCCGCGCCAGCGCCATGGACCCTGATTACCTCGCGCAAGCCCATGGCAGCGCCATGACGAGTTTCCCACTGAGGATCAAACAGGTCGACCTTGAGGAAATCGCAGAGACGTTCGTATGGCCATTCAACCCCTTCCAAGTTGTCGTCGGCCTCAATCTCGGACTTGATGGGGATAATGGGCCCCTTGTATTCGCTGACAACCTTAGTGTCCTCTTCGATATCAGCGGGCCTATCGAGGCTGAAATAGTCATTCATCTTGCCGCCCTTGGAGTCGGCATCCACCATCGGCGTGTCATCAAAGCCCTCAGAGCCGGCGGTTGTGTTTCGGCGCAAAGAGAGGTCACCGAAGCCGCTCTTGCCCTGAGCAGCCTTCTGAGCCTCCTTCTTCCGCTTTCGCTTGAGAACATTGAGCTGTCGTGCACTAAGCCCGGCCGTCTCACCGTTCTGAGTTTGGGCGGAACCGACACTGTCATGACGGCCGAAGCCATTAGCTGCAGCAGGATCGAGAGGGGTTGCAGGGCTGAGGATGGCGTCGTTAATGACAGGTATCTCTTCATCCTTAAACTCACGTCCAAGGAGACCCAGACGGCCATTGAGCGTTCTTTTCTGATGGTTCAGCCGACTCTGTGGATCGAGAGCTGCAAGGCCCCAATCACTTTTGTCGCCAATTCTGAGCAAGGACCTTCCGTACTTGAGAATGTTGATAACGTCCAGAGTCCTAAGACTGAACTGCTCCTCCTCACTAAGAGAGAGCTTTGGGGGGCCCTCTTCTTTCTTGATGAAGCCATTGCTATCTTCATCTTTCATCACCGCGTCGGGTTCCTCGTCGGCATTGGGATCATACTGCGGTGCATTTTCGATGATTTTGCCTATAGCCTTGGCAGCAGTTGATCTGGTTTCCCAGTCTTTGTGGCGCAAGTAGGGGACAACCCGAGAGAGTAGATTGAAAAGCTCATCGGGGTGTTCCTTTTGCCATGTGGCGAGCTGATCTACGGCAGCATCCCGAATCAGGCGAGTACTGCCCGTCTCGATGAGCCTACACGTGGAAATTGTTAGTCAAGTGTCCGGGAAAAAGAAAACACAAACCTCCAGAAAGTACAGAGTACTCACGTGACAAGGCGATCTAGCCGAGACGCCATCTCTTGTTCATGTCAGTAGACTGTGTTAATGTGATTAATAAGGGGTAATGGCCATGGCACTGCAAGATAGTTAGTATTATACCCTTCCAGCTTTGTCTAATCTTGGGATGGCGGAGCAGATTTGGAGGTTTTCTTGAAGTGTGCAAGGAGAGTTGAAAGACGAGGCAAGGGGTGAGGGGGAGGAGAACAATCAGGGGTAGTGGAACAAGAACGACAACAAAACAACAAGAGATGTTGACGAGGTGAACCCCCTGCCAAGACCCGAGAGGTGACTTGAGAGGGTTAGGGCACATGCAGTCCACTCGATAATGAACCTCAAGGCCTCATGTGGTAATAAGGATTACAGAACACTGGTTCTGAACTCAAGTGATGTTACAGGAGGAGTGAGGCAAAAATATGATGAGGTGTAAGGGGTACGGTATGTGAACATACCTTGGGAATATCCACAGATATGGCAAAGCTGTAGTCCCAAATACACACACAAGGTTCACTCTCTTGTATGCAATGTGGGCGGCTGTGGTGGTGGGGTTGAAAAAAGAAAAAGAAGTTTCTACCAGAAGGTCTAGGTAATATCAGGTTTTAGCCATTTGCGTCACATTGCTGGATCTGATCCCATAGTTGACGCATTGTGTGTGATGGTCCATGGTCATCGCGAAAGAAGCAAACAGAATGACAGGATGGGCAGTGTGAGAAGTGCAAAGAAGGAAGGGAATTGGATGGCATGACTCAAGCCAGACAGTGTGTTGAAGGGGCCAGTAACAATAACAACACTTGCTGCTGCGAGAAACCAAAGGTAGAGAGATGACAGTGGTAGTGGTGATGGTGGTGATGGTGGTGGTGATGAGATGATATGTGGGATGAAAGAATGATATATCAGGGTCAAGACTCACCGTCCAATGAATGGCTCAAGGTGAGCAAGGTGTGGTGGTGTCCCCGTTCAGCCAAAGGGAAGTCTCTTTAGTATGCAAGCCAACCAAGGTCGCCGGTACCTTGCGCTAGACAAACACACACACACACACACACAACTGGAAGAACACACGGTGCAACGGTGACTACTAGCGGCCGCCCAAGATGGTCCGTGTGGTCCGTGTGGTCCGTGGATTTTTGGCGGGGGAGTATCGAAATAATATGTATGGAGGGGTCTGGACCAGGCGGTCAACTCCCGGTCTCGTCGTCTTGAAATGAAAAAAAAAAAAAAAGCAAGTAGCCAAGTATCGGAAGGTGGTGACGTTGAAGGGCAGGCAGGCAGGCAGGCAGGCAGGCAATTTGCAGTGTGCGCTGTGTTGTTGGGGTGTCAGTCACGGTGTCGCCCGGATTGGTGGTTGGTTGGAGTAGGTAAGAGACGTCGGTCGGGTCGTGCACGCGCGGGCAGCAGGGCAGCAGGGCGCAGGTTGTAGTAGTAGGGCGTCGGATGGGCGATGGCGGGCAGTGGGAGGTTCGGGTGGAGGGCAGCGGCCTGTCTATAAAGAATATTGGTTAGTAAATTTATAGACAAGCCGGCACTTCCCAACGTTCCTCCCTTCTCAAATTTTAGCGCGATCCACGTCCGCCCATTGTACCCCTGCCATCCATGCGCCTCCCCAATTGCACCTCATCGCCCCCAGTCAAGTGCGGCCCACCGCGGCCCCTGATTGGCTGTCTGCTCTCACGCCCCAGTTCGTTTCTCCAGTCAAGAAGGAAGGAGTGCTTTTGCTTTGAGCTTCATCACGTTTTGCCCTGAGCTTTGCCCTGTGGCCCTGCCATGTTTGGCCGTGGTGCACGGTCGAAAGGGCTTTTGCATTCTCGAACTTGACTTTTGATTCTTTTCCCTTTTCCCTTTCATTTCCTCACTCGTCTGCCCAGTCCATCCATTTACCATATATGCTAACAGTACTTAGGATTCTATAAGTCGTTGCCTTCCACCATCTCACCTATTGGCAAACCTCACCAGCTGAATGGACTTGGAGTCAAGTCGGATGACGGAGATGCGTGCTTGCCTGCCTGCCTTAACTCTTCGGGATAAAGCCCAGTGCGACCCAATGACGAATAGCCGGCAGAAAGGCTGCACTGCAAAACACAGGAGATCTAGGGCCTACGTCTGGCCTACCTAAGTGATCACTCCGCCATCACGGTCCGAGGCCTGGGCACGCCTACTTACCTCTACAGCCGGAGTGGATGTCTTCCAGAACTCCCGCTCGGTCCAGTCACATATCGGAAGTCGTACACTTTTTGTTTGCATTTGGAAGTACTCCGGCCCTCGACCTCCCATCCGTTTCCGGACCTGGGCTTGATATGACGACTCCCGATAACTGTCTTGACCTCACCTTTCCCGAGAAAGCCGACCTTTGTCCACGGAGTAAGCAGTCAAGTGCTGGTGAGCTTCTTGCTTTCCCCGCGCCCATCCAGGACTGGGCTCGTCTCGGTCTCGGCTTGGGTCAGCTGCAGAGCAACCTACGTAGTGGTAGGTATAAATATATAAACCCAGGCCCCCGGGTCGGCTCGACCCGTCACTTTGCGGTTTTGTTACTGTCCTGTGCAGGGTCACGATATCAAATGTGAGCACTCCGGTTCGTACAGTCACTGTTCGTGGGGAAACCATGGAAACATGATCCTCTATCTATCCGCGTCGACAGTCCGTTGTCGATACTCGAAGATGTGCACAACCTTATTATTGCGAGGAAAAGTCTGTCTAGCTGTCATGGCGCGGCGCGAAACGAAAAAGAAGCCATGATGCGGTACACGGTAGTGCAGCATAAGCAAGCTGGCGACGCACCCCATGGCCCATCATCTGTCAAGCGTGTGCCTGATCCGTATCAAAGAGAGGCTTCGGCCGGCTTCTTGCTGTGAGACTCCGAAATCAGGAAAGCCGTATGATTGGGGATATCTCGGTACTGTGCTCTTGTTGGTGACTGTCTCGCCCGTCATGCATTCAGTTCGGATGTTGCCGCCGTCGCCGCCATCTTGTGACCAACACCACCAAGGTATTCAGGAAGCATCCTCAAATTGCAGAGTGGTAACGAGGGCATGCCTGATGGCTTGTAGAGTTTGTAACAAAGGTTGTTTGGCGATGATAATCTCAACGCCGGGCCTTGTATGTCCAAAAAGAGGTTGAAGTCAGACATTTCGATGCAGGTTTATACGCGTGTACTGGTCGAACGGCACAAGGTGTGTACGTACAGGTAGTATGTAATCACGGACAATCTCCACGCGGGATCTGCGACACAGGAGCCATTCAAAAACAACAACGACTTGCTCCCTTCCCCTTTTTAGCGGTGTTTAGAGTATCCGTCTAGAACCAGACGGTTCTCGAATAGATTACTGACAAACTTGACCTATCGAGAAAGGCAGCATCCAGGGCGCATCGGCGGTTACTATGAGGTCTTTGTGAGGTTGCCGCACCGCAGGGACAGTGGAGCAAGCTAAAGACAATTAGGTTCCCGTCAAGTGGGGCGTGCGAACGTCCACTGATCATTTCAAAGTCTGGGGTCCCTTGCTGCTCCCCATTCGGGCACCATTTCGAGAGCCACCAGAGAGAGTCGAAAGCCTCAAACAGATTTTTCTCGTCAGTCTCTGTTGGAACCCCAACTCCAGACGAGAAAATGCGGGACGTTGGATGTCTCCATTCACGAAAATGACGATTGGTTGTCCTGAGAATGGAGGGCGGAAAACGGACACTTGTTCCGAATATGTCGTACACTAGATGGAGACAACAAATAAACTCGCCGGGCGTTGGAGGAGCAACCCAGGTCACAGATATCAACTAGGTGTAAACATGTGGATGTCGTTGGTTCTCCTGTCTCTATCGCCTTATGTTGGAACTTGGCACCATCTACACAAGCTGTATGGGATCCATTATGTACAGCAATTTATCGTGGTGTTGATTTTGTGGTGTTGCTGCTACTCCATCATCACAAGCCGAGACAGTAGGTAGCATCAAGCGCACTAGGGGCTCTGGCGGATGCAGCTACTGCCAATCCGCCACGCGTCTGTCGCGACACTGGCAACTTGGAGCTGAAATACACTACATACATGGCTCGAGGCTCAACAGTCCCAATCACCCCAGTTCGTGGACTGTCTTGTGCTTCGATTCTGATGACAGTTCTGTATTTTGAAAGCCTATCACGTAAAGCTACCAAGCCACGTCGCGCAAATGGAGGCTTTGAATCCTGAAAGAGCTTTGCTTCAGTTCCTTCCCGTCATCCTTCCTACGTTTCGCAATGTCACCGAATCCATCAAGCTGCTTTAGGTGGGAACCCAGCCCAGCCTGCTGCTTGGTCAGAGCACGTGATTGGCCCAGGCGCTTTGTTCTACCGCCATAGTCACAATGGCCCGAGCACCTTTTGGAGAGCTCACTCCCGCGCTGCGACGGCTCTGGCCCTGGTGCCGCCCGCTGTCGGTGCTTGCCTGCGGGAGAGAAGTGGAAATCCCCTGCAAGAGGGGGGAGAGCGCGCGACAGGCGGCGAGACGCGTTGAAAGTGCGAACTAGGTACATGTTCATAACGGAAGTTCAGGTTCTTCGGTATCGTCACCCGCCAGCCGGTCCCAGGTCTTTCCATATTCGCGCTCGTGTCAGGTGTGAATTCTGTGTCCAGAACCGAAACTTGATCAATCACAGTTTCCTCCCACATCGCGACAATTGGAAAGGGTCGACGACTCCGGCATTCTCAACGACGACGCCCTTCCGCGCCCCGCGACCGATGGATGCGAACCAAACGATGCAAATAGAGACGATCCGATTCCCACTCTTGACCTCCGAGCTCTCGACCTGAACTCTGTACCTTGGCCTTGTTGCGCAGAGTGATGCGCGCAGCTGTCTACATAGTCTACGAGCTAGTCGATTGTTGTATTCCCATTGGTCTATATTCTATCCCACTTCAGCGTCTCTTCAACATCAAAGTAGCTGCCGCCGCGCTGTCGTCCAGTTGACGACGACAACACCGCAACCATGCATATCAAACAGATTATTATCCAGGGCTTCAAAAGGTGCGTCGCATGCCCGTCTACTATGGCTCCACGTCAACATCAGTCCATCGTTTTGGGTGTGGCGCGCGCCTGGCGCATGGTAGCAGATTGAAGCCGGTGCTGACGTTTGACACTTCCACGACCAGCTACAAGGAGCAAACCGTAATCGAACCCTTTTCCCCCGGTACCAATGTTATTGTTGGTCGCAACGGTTCAGGCAAGAGTAACTTCTTCGCCGCCATCCGATTCGTCCTCAGCGATGCCTACACCAACATGAGTCGCGAAGAGCGCCAGGCCCTGCTTCACGAGGGTTCGGGCTCGGCCGTCATGTCAGCATACGTCGAGATCATCTTCGACAACACCGATAAACGTTTCAGCGAACCCGGCGACGAGGTCGTCATCAGGAGGACGATCGGTCTCAAGAAGGACGAATATTCAGTCGACAAGAAGGTGCAGACTCGTGCCGATGTCCTCAAGATTCTGGAAACGGCCGGCTTTGCCAAGGAGAACCCCTTCTACATCGTTCCCCAAGGTCGTGTCGCAGCCATCACCAACATGAAGGAGAACGAAAGACTCAACCTGCTCAAGGAAATTGCCGGTACCAACCTTTACGACGACAGGCGCATACAGTCGCTGAAGATTATGGCCGAGACAAATAGCAAGCGCGAGAAGATCGACGAGTTGCTCGAGTACATCAAGGAGCGTCTTAGTGAACTGGAGGAGGAGAAGGACGAACTCCGCGACTTCCAAGAAAAGGACCGCGAACGCAGGTGTCTCGAGTACGCCCACTGGCACCGCCTACAGGAGACCAACAACAACACTCTGGAGCAGATCGAAGAGGTGAGGCAGGGAGGTACTGGCGCAACGACCAAGGACCGGGTCCAACTCCAGAAAACGGAAAAGGAAATTGCTGCCCTCGACCACAAGTTCCAGGAGCTGAAGCAGACTCTTGAGCTCCTGGCCATCGAACGGCGCCAGTTGGATGAGGACAGGAAAGACACCGCGCGTTCGCAGGCAAAGGCAGAGCTGAAGCTGAAGGATCTCGACGAGACACGACATTCGCGCGAGAAGGCCCAGCAGCAACAGGAAGCGGAGCTGAACGAGGTCAGGCGAAGGATCCAGGCTGCCGAGTCAGAGCTTGCCAAAATCACACCAGACTACGAGAAATGGAAGAAGGAGGAGGAAGAAGTGGCGGCCGCAAGGGATCTGGCGGCCACCGGTCGTACCAGGTTGCTGACGAAGCAGACGCGAAGCTCCCAGTTCAGGACAAAGGCCGAGCGCGATGCTTTCCTGAAGAGCGAGATCGAGGAGACGACCATGCAGCTTGCGAACCAGCGGGCCAATGAGATGGATGCGAAGGAACAGGTCACGCTGGTCGAGAACTCGATCAAGCAACTAGAGAAGGAGATCCAAAACATCCGTGACAGGCTCGAAGGATACGGTGAGGACCGGTCATCAATCGCCGAGAAGCTGACCAAGGCTCAGGAGGCCAGGGAACACTTGTACGAAGAGCGAAAGAGACTGCGTCGTGAGGAGGACAAGCTCAGTTCTTTGCTTGCGAATACCCGTGCAGATAGAGACAACGCGGAGGCGGACCTCTCACATGCCATGGATTCGGCGACAGCTAGGGGTCTAGCAGCGATCAGACGCCTCAAGAGAGAGCGGGATATTCCCGGTGCCTATGGTACTCTGGCAGAGCTTATGAACGTGCCAGTAGACGCCTACAGGTTGCCGGTCGAACAGGTGGCGGGTAACAGCCTTTTCCACTATGTCGTCGACAACGAAAAAACGGGCACCATGCTGTCCGAGTATCTCCACAAGAACTATGGCGGTCGTGTCACATTCATGCCGCTTGAGCAACTACGGCCAAGGCAGGTGAAGATGCCAAGGGCCTCGGACGCCCAGCCACTTATCAGCAAAATTGAGTTTGACCCGATATACGAAAAGGCATTCCAGCAGGTCTTTGGGCGCACGATTGTCTGCCCTAACTTGTCGATAGCCTCTCAGTATGCACGCACACATGGTGTAGATGCCATCACCCCCGAAGGTGATACAACCAACAAGCGGGGTGCCATGACCGGTGGCTTTGTTGATGCTCGCCGATCACGGTTGGAGGCGGTCCGGAGACTCGAAGAGCTTCGGGAACTTTACGAGCAACAGCTGGAAGACTTGGACAGGATCAAGAAGGAAGATGAGATTCTGGAGCAAAAGATCACGAGCGCTAATGGCGAGGAACGTAAGCTCGATCAACAATTGCGCCAGTTCGAGTCAGGTTTCGATCCCCTGAAGGTCGACTTGCGGACGAAACAGCTTCAGTTGGAGCGCGAGCGGCGACATCTTGAAGACGCCAAGATGCGCTGGGCGGCCATCGAGAAGAACCTGAAGGAGTTTGACGAGAACCTCACAGCGTACCGGGCCGAAATGGCTTCCGAGTTCAAGAAGGCGCTATCAGCCGCCGAGGAGCGTCAGCTCGAGGAGTTCGGTGCCGAAGAGCACCGCCTGCAGATGCAGTTGAAGGAAATCAGCAAGAAGCGTCTGGAGCTGGAAGGCCGCAAGAAGTCACTGGAGACGGAACTTCGTGCACATCTCAGGCCGCAGGAGGATCAGCTGCGCAGTCAGGCCTTTGAAAACTCCGCTACTGGTGGAAGCGGGAGCTTTAAGGACGCTCAGAAGGAACTCAAGAAGCTTAAGAAGGCTGCTGCTGAGGTCGACAGGCAACTGCAGGAGAACGAGGAGAAGACGGAGGGCATCGCCGCCGAAATTGCCGAGCTAGAGGCCCACAAGGCGCAAAAGGAGCAGGAACAACAAGAGCTCCAGAAGCGGATCGATCAGTATCAAAAGAAGTTGGAGAAGAACTCTCAGACCAAGGCTCGTCTGCTCCAACAGGCGGCTGAGTATGCCAAGAACATTCGTGATCTTGGTATCCTGCCTGAGGAAGCCTTTGGCAAGTATGAGAAGATGAAGTCTGAGCAGGCAAGTTATTCATCCTTCGACAATTCTTGCTTGATCTACATACTAACCAGAAAAAAAACAGATTGAAACAAGACTGCGCAAGGTCAATGAGGCTCTCAAGAAGTACAAGCACATCAACAAGAAAGCCTTTGACCAATACAACAACTTCACAACCCAGCGCGAGCAGCTCCTGAAGCGTCGCAAGGAGCTCGACACCTCGCAGAAGTCGATTGAGGAGCTCATTCAGCATCTCGACCACGCCAAGGACGAGGCCATTGAGCGGACGTTCAAGCAGGTGTCTAGAGAGTTCTCCACCATCTTCGAGAAGCTTGTGCCTGCCGGCCACGGCCGTCTGGTCATCCAGCGCAAGGCTGCCGGCAGCAAGAACCGCAATCCAGAGGACTCGGACGAAGATGGTCCTTCCTCCGCTAAGGGCGTCGAGTCTTACAGCGGTGTGGGCATCAGCGTCAGCTTCAACTCCAAGGTTATGGATGAGCAGCAAAAGATTC